GTAGAGATGGAGTCTCTCTACGTTGCCCAGACTGGTCTCAAAATCCTGGCCTCAAGTGATCTTATCTTGGCTTCCCAAAGTCCTGGGATTTTATGTGTGAACCCAGCCCCTAGTTTCACTGTCTTAATGGATGAGTTAATATAAAGGGACCAAGAGATAGCTAAGAAAAAAAGTGTAGACAAGGTCTAAAACATTTCCAGTTCTTTTATAAAGGTCAAAATAGCATATCACTGAATGGTGCAGGGAAGAGTTTCTCATTGTTTGAGACATCTTATCCTCTGTCCATTTCACCTCTGAGTGCAGACAGGTAGCCATGCTCTGGTTTGCAATTATTTGCACTTAAGTAGCTGGAGACCATTAATACCCACAGTAGACTGGGAACCAGTATGATGGCAGGATTTCCCTCCTGTTGAAATAGCCCTGCTTTGTACCCTGACAGTATAGGTGCAGGATCCCGCAGTTCTGTATAGAAGCTGCCTCTGAAATGTGGTTTCTGGGTGGGTCAAGTGTTAATGTGCTGTGATAACCCCTCGGTGGGGAAATTGGTTCTATCTTAAACATTGTTTTGCCCTTTCTTATAACTTAATTAACAAATGACAAAGGATTATATCTGGTAAAGGACATGTATGAAACAGTATTGAAGGAATTCTTAAAAGGAGATGAATCATTTAAAATTTCCAAGTTTAGGAAACTGATCTGTGATAAACCTGAGGGGCTTATCTCAAACCAATTTTTTATGAATCATGGCTTTGATTGCAAATATTCATTCATGTTTTGATTGTTCACTTGCTATCAACCTGAGTCTAAGGTGAAGCTACTCACCAATCCTTGGCTTCGACACAGGAGACAAACCAGAAGTCATCACCTCCCGTCCTTCCTACTTACACATCAAACCAAGGGAACTGGTAACTTCACAATGGCAAAGCATCAGCTCAGACAAATGAGATTTAAAAAAAAAGACTCCCAAGTTCAGTATTTTCAAGTTGTGAATTCTAGTGTCAAGAGTTAGCAGCGAAGGCCTATTATTTCTACTGGAACTCTATGCTTACTTTTATTAGAAGTTCTAGGATGGGAGAATCCATGGGCGCTCTGGAATTCAAATCTTTAAGCCATGCTGTTGTCATGAGTGCATGTGTACTTTTTGGTGCAATTCTATAATTTTTAATAGTTATCAGGAAGACAAAGTCTCTCACAAAATGCTGCTTTATCAGTAAAAATATTCAAAACTATTAATAGTATAAATTTTCAAAATAAAAATATTTCCCTCTTTGGACATTGAAAGAATGAAGATTCTTTTCCACTTTATGCTGAAACTTCATCTGATCAAGCAGTCTATGTCAAAGCACCAAATTCCAAAAGCTGTATTTTTGTTGGACTGCCCCATAAAGAAATCCCAATGGGAATAATTGAGTTATTCTACGGCAAACTGTCCTCAGACTCTTCCCGGTTCTTTGTAGAAATCCCCAAACTCACATCTGTAAGAAACCACAGAATCACTGTTGAGGCTCCCAGCTCTTCCCAATTCTTCCTCTCTCTCATGTACTTGTCAACAGCCCTCCTCTCATGCTGACCACGAATTCCAACCTAGGCACTGTATTCTACTTTATTCTTCAATATTTCAGTCCAATGAAAGCCACTCTAATCAGACATAAATACTATTCCAATTTCTTCTTTGATTTTTCAAACTGCTAGAAAAGGAAGTAAAATAAACTTTGAGAGCCCAGGGGAGTTAATATTCACAAAATGCTGACATTTTGTGGGCACATCTCCCATTGCTAAGAGGTAACTAATTGGATTTTTTTCCACCTCCTCTTTTTATGTATTGAAACAGTATGCATTGTGGTTCAGGGGAAAGAGTCTTGGGTTGTTTATTTCAGGTTGAACATCCTTTTATTCATAAATTAGAGATTTTTTCCAACTGATTTTTTATTGCCATTTATGTGGCCTACCAGAAATACATCTGACAAAATCGTAGGTAACGAAGGTGCTATTCTCCATTCTGTGGACTGGTGAAGATAGTAAAAACTGTGGTTGTTGTAAACCATTTAAAAATTATTTTTTAAATTTATGAAATAATTATCATGAGAAAAAGTACAGAAAATCATATAGCAGATACCTTTGTATCCAGCGATGAGAATAAACAGAAAAACAGATGATGAATTTTGTTATGTTTTCTAAAAATATTCTCTCTCTCTCTACATTTCAGATTTTCTCAAACATTTCAGACAAAGCTAGAACAATAGTCCTTGTTCCGTTTACTCTTTTAAAGATTGTAATCACTCTTGGGAAGATTCCACACATGTCTTTTAGAATTTAACCGTTACAGTCCGGGGGCTGTGGCTCACGCCTGTAATCCCAGCATTTTGGGAGGTCGAGGTGGGCAAATCACGAGGTCAGGAGATCCAGATCATCCTGGCTAACACGGTGAAACCCCATCTCTACTGAAAATACAAAAAAAAAAAAAAATTAGCTGGGCGTGGTGACGGGTGCCTGTAGTCCCAGCTACTCCGAATGCTGAGTCAGGAGAACGGTGTGAATTCGGGAGACTGAGCTTGCAGTGAGCCGAGATCGCGCCACTGCACTCCAGCCTGGGCGACAGAGTGAGACTCCGTCTCAAAAAAAAAAAAAAAAAAAAAAAAAGAATTTAACCTTACAGGTATGTATTACAAAACAATATACTGCATTATTTTGTATTTTGAGATTTCTTATTAATGGTGCCATGCAGTATGTATCATTCTTCTTTTACATCCAACATTTTATTTGTAAGATTTATCTAAGAAAATATGTACAGAACCACTTCTTTGCTTGTAATAGCTAATACTTCCATTGTATGACAAAACCACTATTTTTTCATTCCACTATTGATTACACTTATTTTTAAAGAGGGAGCACCCTTGTAAATGCCTCCTAGTTTACATATTGACTACCTTGAATATAGATATCAGAAATTTGTATTGCTGGATTGTTAGATATATGCCTATTCATAACTAGTTTAGGCAAATTGTTCTCCTAAGTTCTCTGTGTGGTGTTTTTTTTCATCTGGAAAAGTGTAATAGCTTCATCTCCATATATTCCTACCAATATTTAATGTTATCAGACATTTTAGATTTTGTTGATCTAGTAGAAATGAAACAATACTTTATTTTAATTTGATTTCCTTGAGTTCTGTGGAAGTTGATGTTTTACATTTTTAGTGGCCATTCCTATTTCTTCTTTTTGAATTGCCTTTTTATATCCTTGTCTCTTCTTATTTTGGATGTTTTCTTATTTATATGTAAGAGTTCCCCATCTAACCTTAATTTCTAAAATTGTACCGGTTATATTATTTACAGATGCATCCAGCATGTGTCTTGCTTTTAATTTTGTAGTGGGTGCACCTGCAGGTTAAAAATTTCCCTTGTATTACTGAATCTTTAGTGATTTTCATTTCCAATTATCAAATAATTTTAATGATTATAAATCTACTTAGTTTTTCTATTTCTTCTTGAGTTACTTTTGGTAGTATATGTTTTTCATTCAAATTATTTCTACTTTTGAAAGTTTTAAAATTTATTGGCTTAAATTGTACTTAACATTTTCTAATTTTTTTTTTTTTAGTTTCTACTTTATCTCCAGACATGTCTCCTTTTTAATCTCTCCTATTATTGTATTTATTAGTCTCCTATTATGGCCATAAGAAATTACCACAAATTCAGTGGCTTAAAACAACACAAATTTATTATTTTGCAATTCTGAAGGTCATAAATCCAAAGTCAGTTTCATTGGGCTAAAATCAAGGTACTAGCAGGTTTGAGTTCCTTCTGGTGGCTATGGGGAATAATCAGTCTCTTTTTTTTTTTTTTTTTTTTTTTTTTTGCCTTTTCCAACTTCGAGGCTGTCCTCATTCTCTCATCACATTGCTTTCTTTCATTCCGACTCTACTGCTTCCCTTTTATAGAGATGCCTGTGGTTACATTGGGTCTGCCTGGATAACCGAAGCCAAATCTTCTCATTTCAACGTTCTTGAATTAATCACATATGTAAAGTTCCTTTTGCTATATGTTATTCGGTTAAATTGTATCCCCAGAAAATTCATATGTTGAAGTACTAATCTCTAGAAGCTTAGAATGTGATCTTTTTGGGAAATAGGGTTATTGCCGATGTCATTAGTTAAGTTGAAATGAGATCCTACTGGAGTAGTGTGGGCCCTTAGTCCAATAAGACTGGTGCCCTTATGAAAAGAATGTCACATGAAGAGACAGAGACACACACAGAGGAAAGACCGATGGGAGGATAGTGTTATATAAGTGAAATCACATGTTATATCACCTTTGAGATTGACTTTTGTTCACTCAACATAATGCCCTTGAGATTCATCGAAGTTGTTGCATGCATCAATAGTTCATGCCTTTGTATTGATGAATCATATTCCATTATGTGGATATGTACCAAGATATATTTAACCATTCACTCAATGAAGCATAAAGTTTCTGAGATCCATCATGTGTTATCCGTATCACTAGCTTATTGCATGTTATTGTTCTGTAGTATTCCGTTATAGGAATATACCACAATTTATTTTTCTATTCCCCAGTTAATGGACATTTGGATTGTTTCCAGCTTGGGGCTATTATGGTTAAAACTGCTGTAAACGAAAGTCCTCGTGTGAAGATATATTTTCATTTATTGTAGATAAATACTTAGGAGTGGGATTTCTGGTGCTATGTTAAGAGCAATTTATAAGAAACTGCCGAATGATTTTCCAGCGTCATAATACTGATTTGCATCCCATCAGCAAGGCATAAAAATCCCAGCTGCCCCACAACTGGTTGGATGCTTGTAACAATTGCAAATACTTTAACTGTAATAAAAAGTTTGTTAGAGATGGTCATTTATTAAGCTTAGTTTCTTTTATTTAATCACCATTCTCATACTGCCACACTAGTGTTTATACAGTTATTTATCACTTGCATATGCAGATGAAAACCAGTCTACATCTCTGCCCACGGAAGCTTCCACTGAGGGGTTTGGCTGGAGCCTCAACTGCAGGTTTGGGTACAGGCTTCAGGTGCCTGGGGAGGACTGTGTGCTTGCTGCGCAGAAGTAGGTGGCTGAGTCTCCAGGCTGGGAATCCATGATATGCAATGAGAAGTTCTTGGCACTTTTATTGAAGAAGATTTTGAATCTTCCTTCTTCTTTTTCACTCGCAGCTGAACTTATGGCTATCAATAATGCAGGGCCTTTCCCAGGGAATTGTCGGTACCATGGAAAGTAGTCAAATGCACTGTTCTCATAAGCACAGTTTATAATTGAAATCCCTCCTTTCTGGACTATCAAAGATTGAGGACTTTGTTTCACCTGCTGCCGGTCACTTTCCTCCTTCTGTTGGCCACTCACCCCTGCTTAGAGAGATAACAAAATGTCATTAGGCCCCCCAAATAATATTTTCTTCTTAAAGTGTCTACCTGCCTGAGTTTGTCTGTACCCCAATTTTCTCATCCACCCAAGTTAGTAACATACCCTGGAGTTTCTCTTCCATAACTCACAGCATAGTTGAAGCCACAGAATTAAAAATGATGCTCCTAAGATCTTGTCCATTCCTCCTGGCACCAGAGCTCAGTGACAGCCCAGGTGGTCTTCCAGTCTTCCCAACCAGCTGAAACTCTGTAAATTCACCCTCAACTGAATTCTTTCAACAGGCCCCGCCCTTTCACAAGTGCTTTCACTTAAAGCTATCTCTGTGAAAGGAAGCACTTCCCCCACTTTGTCCAAATTTAGAATTGCTGAAGATATATTCTTTGGGAATCAGTAATCCTTTCTTTACACACAGATAAGTGTCAGTTTAGAATTTCTGTCTCTCAAGCCCCCTCAACTTTTCCTCAGACCTTTAAGATGGCTGGATATGTCAATAGAAAGGGCCTTACTTTACAATGGTGGAAGAGAGGAACTCCTGTGAAACCACAAGATTAACATGTACAGTAGCACTTCTTTTCTATTGTGAATAATAATAAAGTGTGTTGAGGGCACACAATGAACATAATATCCCATTACAAGCTAAGGTCATGAATCAGAACATAGAGAATATATGGTCCCTTTGTCCTCAGAGAACTTAAATTTTATTACAATTTTTCAGATGTATTTATTCCATATTTTAGATGATCCTCAGAAATGATATAATATAATTTAGTCAATTTTATTTTCCTCAAATTTTTTCTAAATAGATTAAGTAAATTAAATATTTTTTAATGTAACTAGAAAAAGAAATTAGCAAATACTGAAATAATCTGTTCTGGAGGAGCTGTGATCTTTAAATGGATAAGGGAGGATAGAAATTCTGCAGAATACAGAAGATATAGAGCTATAACAATCCAGTAATGCAGTCATTTTTGGTGGCTTTTATCCTGAGTTTGAATAAACATTCGATATTTTCTTCACACTTCAAAATGGGTCAACTATGAAAATACAAAGGATAAATTCAACTTTTGATGTTAACACAAGCAGGATACACAGGCAGAAATTGAAGATAAATTCTAAAGCAGCCCTAAAATAGGAATGATCTGTATTATAAATCATATAAGTTAAAATAACATGAGAAGCACATTTTTTTCAGAAACACAAAAATGATTTTTTTGTATTTGTATTTGGTGTCACCACAATTCCACTCAAAGAAAACACCATCCCAGTCCAATAGGAGACGATGGTCCACGTTCCTCAATCTAGAATCCAAACCTTTCTTCCCCAGTACCCTAACGTGCTTTTTAAAAGTTGTTTAAAGTTTTGTTGTGCTTTCTTTTCTTTTAATTTATATATGAATACCTTCAATACATATATACTGTATACTAAGTGCCTACTAAATTAGGCAGTACTTGGGCCTCATTTCATTCACAAAAGAGACATAGTCCAAGTCTTCAGTTAACCTAGTCCCAAGACTCAGGTATCAGCCAATGAAATCTGCCAAAGACACCAGTGTGTTTAGATGATGTGATGAAGGAAAGATTGATGAAATCTGTTTCTGGACCCAGTCAAAGAAGAGTACGGATGGCGAGATGCTTGAACTGGGCCTCAAACCATGATAGATTTCCCCATAAAAAGAATGGATAAGGGAATTTTAGGCACAGATTCGTATGGCTGGATATTGGACTGTATATGGGTGAAAACATTGTAAAGTTATACTAGAGAAGTTAATGTGGGCTTGAAGGATCACATGTATAATTCAAAAAAGTGTTGACTTCCAAAGTAATGTTTTCCACTCTGTTAGAGTGGAATAAATACAGATACTAGTTAGGTAGATGAATGGATAAATGCATAGAGGCATTGAATGAAACAGACACGTGAATTGAAACAGACTAGTAGATAATTTACCAGATTTTAAAAGGGTAATCTCTGGCTACTTGCTGAATATGTGTATGTGGACAAATGTTAATCTTCTTTGAAGAAGCATTGCCCCCTTGTGGCCATATAGGGAGTTTCCATCAAACAATTTCCTACAGCTTCTTAAAACTGTTCAGCAACCCCTGCATCTATCAGAACACTGAAATAAGTGGCTGAGTCTTCCTCTTAAGCCAATGATTTCTTCAGATGAAAGGAGATTTTGTCCTTGCTGAGGTCAGGTATGTCTCAGGCGGATCTGGAGGAATTGATTGGGATGCTGGAGGTACCAGGAGAGAACAGGGCTACTGAAACAGTGACACAGCAACTGCTCTGGGGTTCCTTCAGAGGCAGAAATTGGCCGTCAGATGGAGTCATTACATGAGATCTCCTTCCTCGCATAATGGCAACATCAGATCAGGCAGAAGTCTTCACACTAAAGAGAATATGTCCTTAAATAGATCTAACTTAGTTAATTATACTTCATCTTTGTCAACACTTGGTATAGTAGTCATCTTTTCATTTGTAGCCAACATAGCGGCTATATAGGATCATATATATATACTATATATAGTGGCTATATATCTGATTACTGTATTAACTTGCACTTCCCTGATTATCCTTAGTGACATAAGAGTCAGTAAACTTTTTCTATAAAGGGTTGATTAGAAAATATTTTAAACCTTGCAGGTGATTCAGTCTCAATGGCAACTACTCAGTTCTGCCATCGCAGCATGAAAGAAGCCATTGGTAACACTGGTAACACATTAAAAAAAAAAAAACTCAAGCATCGCTGTGTTTAAATAAAGCTTTATGAAAGGAGGTGGATGGCTGAATTTGGCTCATGGGCCATATTTTGTTGACTCTTGATGTAAAGCATCTTTTCATGTGCTTATTGGTCATTTTTATATTTTTGTTGTGAAGATTCTGCGAAAATATTTTGTTAATTCTTAACTTGGGTCCTTTCTTCTCTTTTATTGAGTTGTAAGAGCTTTTTGCATATGCTGTACACAAGACTTTGGAATCATTTACATGTTTCAAATAGTTTCTTCAAGTCGATGGCCTCTCTTTTTGTTTTCTTAAAGATGTCCATGACCTCTGCACTGAAAAGTCCAAAAACAGTACTGACAAAAATTAAAGAACCTTAATAAATGAATAGATATGTCATGTTCATGAATTAGAGGATTCAATAGCTTTAAGATGGCAGTTCTACCCCCAATTTTCTATAAGTGCAATGCAATATCACTAAAAATTTTAGCAGGCGTTTTTATAGAAATTGACCAACTAATTCTAGAATTTATATGGAAATGCAAAAATAAACCTTAATGAATAACTAAAACAATTTTTAAAGGGAACACAATTGAAGGACTCACCCTACCTGATTTCAAGACATTATAACAATAGTAATCAAAACAGTTTGGTATTTGTGAAAATAAAACTTGTAGATCAATGAAACAAAATAGGAATTGATTCACAAATTCATATTCAATTAATTTTCAAACAAGATACCAAGACAATTCAATGGGTTAAAAAAGTGTTTTCAAGAAATAGTTGCAATAAAATAAAATGTGCTGGTATTTTAATGGATTTGGGCAAAGTAAACTGAAAACCTTCTGGAAAGGATTCATACTCTAGATGCCATTAAGAATATTCATGATGCACAAGAGGAGGTCAAAATATCAATATTGTCAGAATTTGGAAGAAGAAAATTCCAACTCAAATGCTCAAATGACTTCAAGAAGTTCAAGACTTTAGTGGAGAAAGTAACTGCAGATGTGTTAAAAATAACAAGATAAATAGAATTAGAAGTAGAGTCTGAAGATGTAACTGAATTGCTACAATCCCATGATAAAACTTTAACAAATGATAAACTGCTTTTTATGGATAAGCACAGAAATTGCTTTCTTAAGATGGAATCTACTTCTGATGAAGATGCTATAAACATTATTGAAATGACAACAAAGGATTTAGATTATTACATAAACTTAGTTGATAAAGCAGTGTCAGGTTTTGAGATGATTAACTTTAATTTAAAAAAAAAAATTTCTTAGTAGTTTTTAAAAGATTTTGAAATTAGACTGGGCGTGGTGGCTTACACCTATAATCCCAGTACTTTGGGAGGTTGAGGTGGGCGGGTCACCTGAGGTCTGGAGTTCGAGACCAGCCTGACCAACATGGAGAAACCCCGTCTCTATTAAAAATACAAAATTAGCTGGGCGTTGTGGCGCATGCCCGTAAACTCAGCTACTCAGGAACCTGAGGCAGGAGAATCGCTTGAACCTGGGAGGCGGAGGCTGCACTTGAACCCAGGAGGCAGAGGTTGTGGTGAGCCAAGGTTGTGCCATTGTACTCCAGCCTGGGCAACAAGAACGAAACTCCATCTCAAAAAGAAAAAAAAAAGATTTTGAAATTAATTCATTATAGTTGTATGTATTTGGGGGCATTTATGATATTTGATACATGTATACAATGTGTAATGATCAAATCAGGGTTATTGGGATATCCACTATTTGAAACATTTTTCTTTTCTTTGTTTTGGGGAACATTACAATTCTCTTCTTCTAGTTATTTTGAAAGATACAGTAAATTATTGTTAACCATAATTTCCCTACTATACTATCAAATAGCGGAATTTGTTTCTTCTAGCTATATTTTTGTAACCATTAACCTCCTTCTTCTTATCCTGACTCCAATTTTGAGAAAAGTTCTACTTTGAGTAAAATGCTATCAAACAGTGTTGCATGCTACAGGGAAATCTTTCATGAGAGTAAGAGTCCATTGATGTGGCAAACTTCATTTTTGCCTTATTGTAAGAAATTGCCACAACCATTTCAACTTCTAGGAACCACCACCCTGATCAGCCACCAACATGGAGGCAAGACCCTACATTTGCAAAAAAAGTAACAACTTTCTGAAGCCTTAGATGATAATTAGCATTTGCTAGCAATAAAATATTTTTAAGTCGAGGTGTATACATTTTTATACATAATGCTATTAAATATATGCCTTACTTTATTGTGATATTCACTTTATTTTGGTGATCTGGAACCCTACCCACATTATCTCCAAGGTATATCTCTGTGTGTGTGTGTGTGTGTGTGTGTGTGTGTGTGTGTATGTATCTTAAAAACCAGAACAGAATAGAAAACCAGTCTGAAAAGGAAGGTAAAAAGAATGAGAGGGGAAACAAAAGGTAAATTTATAAAATGAAATTATTGAATTGCTTTACTAATCTAGAGTGAAAAAAACCAGATCTGAATTATTTTTCTAAATAAAAGAGTAATACAATTACATTTTGAATGGAGATATAGGTCAATTGTTGGCATTGTCAGAACATTATGCCATTACTCTAAAATATACAGCATCTGCAGAAACTCTTTTGGCTACTAATTCTTGCTTGAAATCAGGAGATCTATTCAGGATAAGCATGTGCATATGGGCGTAATTAATAATTATAAGATGGGGCTCTTCTATAATCTTCAGCCAAGCCAGATGTTAGTTCTTAGTGAAAAGCATTTTTCTCAGGGAAAAATATATACACAGACATATATCATGCATACATATGTACTTATATACATTCATTGAGAGGAAGTCTGACTGTGCT